CTCGGAGGCGAGTAGAAATAGGCGACAACCCCGAATTACCAGAAGGGGAGAGGGAGGAGGAAGCTCCACAAGAAGTGGCTAACCTTCAGAGGAGTCACGGGGACTTGGAGGATCTCGAAAAGGCCTTTGCAGACATTCGTTTGAGCTTGCCCGACCGAGAGGGCGGCGAAGTCATGAGATCGCCACCCGGGACGAAGCTTAGCTTCCATGCGCTGCCCGTAGGGAAACTGAAAATTCAGATCGGAAGTCATCATACCGACGCATTAGTAGACGGGGAAGCATAAATCACTCTCATAAGGAGAGATTTCGCAACGATCGCGGGATGTACGGTGAACAAGGAAGTAACAGGGAGCATCCGGGGAGCTGGCGGGGAAATCCCGTTCGCTGGGTACGTCACGAAGTGTGCTGTGAAGGCAGGGGTCAGGGAATCGATCTGGTCGTTTCAGTGGATGACCGTAATGGAGGAAATGGACCACGACATAATCCTTGGGAGACCGTGGTGCGCGAACGTAGAGATGATAGGCATGCACTTGCACGATGGCTCGTACATGGTAGACATAGAGGACCCTGTGACCGGCCGGGGAGAGCTCCTCCGACTCCTTGGAACGAGAGGAGACCCCCCGAAGGGGAAATTGGCAACATGGTTGCCGTCGTTCGAGGATAGCACGCGGAAAGGGGCTTTCGCACGGATGGAGGGTATGAGAGAAAGGGTAGTAATCATGATTGAGGAAGCATTCAACAAAAAGGAGTGGATCAAGATGGGCCTGCCCCAGAAGAAGAGGAGGCCGAAGGACGAAGTCCTAGGTGTTATGGTAGCGAAGGAGTCAGAGGTCGAACTTGGTGCTAGCCTGTCCAAACGGAAAGAAGTACGCATAGACGTGCCGGAAATCGCCCTCGAGATCCCCGATCAATTGCAACTCATCAAGGCCCTCAAATACCACAAGGCAGGAGTGGATTCGGCAGCCTTGGCCAAGTTCGAAAGAGAGGTGCAAAAGGGATATTGCCTGAACGGGAAACTAGTTAGTATTCAACCACGAGTCGTAGAGGCGACGGGGGCAATTCCGACTGTTCATTTTTTAGAAGAAAGATCCCGGAAGGAAGTGTTTGAAAGTACAAGCCGGTAGGGAAGAAAGCAAAACCGGTCTCGATCCTGCTAGAGACGTCAAAGGACGAGGCTATGGAGAAGGAGGAAGAGGTCCTTCGAGTGATCCGAGAAAGAAGGGCGACGGAGGGACATCGGATACCAGATGAGGTAGCGGACACAATGAAGATAGGGATAAACGAGTTCTTAACGGAAGAAGAAACCCGCCTGATCAAAAGGACCTGCCAGGAGTTTCACTTGGCATTTGCCTTTAGTGATCACCGGAAGGGACGACTGGATGCGAAGTTGATCCCTCCGGTCAGAATCCACACGGTAGAACATGAGCGCTGGAATGATAAGGGGCCATCCTATGAATTTGGGATAGCAGGAGAAGTAACAGACCTCCTCCGAGCGAAGATGGACTCCTTCGTTGCGGAGCCTACGACATCGTCATGCGCAAATCGGTGGTTCGTCTTTCGGAAGCCTAACAAGACGCTAAGGTGGATTCAGGACCTGCAGAAGTTGAATGCGGTAACCATCCGGGATGCTGGCTCGCTACCTCAGGCTGACTTATTAGCAGAATCGCACGTCGGTCGGAGCATTTACTCCTTGATAGATCTGTACTCAGGGTACGACCAGCTTCCATTGGATGTTCGGGACAGGCCATACACCGCTATGCACACCCCCGTAGGCCAGCTACAGATGCAAGTGACACCTATGGGATTCACAAACGCGGTGGCCGAAGCACAACGCAGGATGCTCATTGTGGTCGGGGACATGCTCCCAGAAAAATGTGAACCTTACATCGATGACAATCCGATCAAAGGCGCGCAGGAGAAGGACGAGACAGAAGTCCAGCCAGGGATCCGACGTTTTGTGTGGGACCACCTGCAGGACATCAAGGATTTACTCCGACGGTTCCTAGTATACAACATTACGGCTAGTGGACCGAAGAGTATCCTAGCAGTACCGGAGGTAACTATACTAGGATTTCGTGGCGGTGCTTACGGCAGGAAGCCGGATCCGGCAAAAATCGACAAGATATCTCAATGGCCGACACCGTTGCGCACGACAACGAAGGTAAGGGCATTCCTAGGCGTAGTCGGCTTTTGGAGGATCTTCATTAAGAACTTTGCCAAGATTGCTGAGCCTATCCGGACTCTGATCAGGGAAGAAGGAACCATGGATTGGACGGAGGAGCGAGAAGGAGCCGTCCAAAGGCTCAAGTTCATATTGACATCTGAGACGTCGCCCTGTACGCGCCTTGTTTTAATGACGAAGTGGGACGACCCTTTCATCCTAGAGACGAATGGAGGACCCTTGGTCGTAGAAGGTGTGTTCATTCAAAGGGATGAGGGAGGAAAAGAGAGGCCGATTAGGTTCAAAAGTAGAACCCTTAACTCCGCAGAACGGCGGTACTCGCAATTCAAGGGAGAAGTCCTAGCCATCCTGCATTGCCTTAAGACCTTCCAGGCCTACCTATTTGGGAGGCGGTTCATCTTAAGGATCGATCCGACGAATGTCGCAGGGGCTCTGAAGAATTACAGGCCTATAGATCCGGCGGTAGGGAGATGGGTAGGATTCATCTGGCAGTTCGATTACAAGATCGAACGGATTGCTGGAATCCGCAACAAGGCATATGGGCTGAGTCGGGTTTGCATCACTCCCGAAGGGCTGGCGGATGCAGAGCCCATAGACGCCTTCCTCGAATACGAAGGAGGGACTATCGCGATGGATAACGAAATGATGAGCGAGGGACGCACGTCGATAGAACTATTGATCCAGACTTTGGAGAAGGGGGCACCTGCCGTAGTAGCAGAACTGACAGAAGGACCAGTCACCACTCGATAGTAGGACCGAAGGAGGAGCTAATAGCAATGGCGGTCGAAGGAGGCCGGGAAGCAGTGATAAGCTTAGTGGAATCTTGGGAAAGGAAAGAGTTGCAATGGATGGTAAATCAGATGCAGGAAGGAAAGGATGGGGGCAAGGAAGGAGAGGAGTTTTTCTATGTCCAAACATACGAAGGGCTCTTTCGGGAGATCGGTTTGTTGTTGGTAGGAAACAAACAACCTACGGAAATCAGTATTAAGGCAAGAGAAGAGGCCGAAAGGTACGTCCTAAGGGGCGGGCATTTGTTCCGAAGGGAGGAAGGTGCTATGCCTAGAAGGGTTGTGTGCGGAAGATCTAGGCAAATAGACGTTATTCAGGCAATGCACGACGGGTTAGTTGGAGGTCATCGGTCGTCCAAAGGAACACTTGCAAAGATAACGCCGCTCTATTATTGGCCAGGCATGGCAGGCATGGTCGCCATATACTGCCAGACTTGCCTTATTTGCCAAGAACGAAGCTCGGTACGAGTCTTCGAGCCGCTTAGACCAACGCGGGTGCTAGGGCCGGGACATCTGGTCCACCTCGACCTTGCGGTCATGCCTGTATCAACGGATGGGTACATGTATATCCTAGATGCGCGAGACAACCTGAGTGGGTTCGTGGAGGCAGTCGCCCTCAAGAAAAAGACAGGGAGGAGTGTGGCGGACTCGATAGAAGACTTCTACTTAAGGCATCCGTTCGTCAGGAGGTTTATAGCAGACAATGGGACGAAATTTGTGAGCCAAGAAGTATTGGGGATGCTTAAAAGACTCTGCGTTCCGATCAAACTCATCGAGCCGTATCACCCTGAGGCTAATGCACTTGTGGAAAGGGGGCACCGAACCTTGTAGAACACGATTGCAAAGCTCGCAGCAGACCATCTGGGGAAAACTGGCCTAGGTATCTTAAGCAGGCTGTCTTTGCAGAGAATATGACTCCTAAAAGGACAACAAGATGTATCCCGACAGAGCTTTGGTACGGAAGAGAGATCGACTTTCCTGTGGAAGCCTTGGTACCTACCTGGAATAGGTTAGATGATGATCCGCAAATGACCACTGAAGAGTTAATCGAGGCAAGAGGTCAACAAATCCTTAAGAATGAGGAGGTCATGGAGGACATCGCCAACCGGGTGCTGGACAGCAGAATGAGGGACAAAGCAAGGTGGGACCAGGTTAAGAATGTCAGAAAGAGGCCACTACAGGTGAAGGAGATGGTATTGCTAAGGAACTCGACACTAGAAAGTACTTGGTCGGGACAGTTGGGAAGGAGGTTCAAAGGCCCCAACCGGGTCGCCAAGCGGGTGGGACTGAACACCTTCGAATTGAAAAATTTGGATGGAACTGGATTGAAAGGGCCCTTCCCGGGGCAACGACTGGTCAGGTTTCTAAGTCGGGACCCAGTTGAACAATGGCTTCAGGAGGCCGAAGATAAGGAAACAGAGGAGTCACAAGCTAAAGACTAACCACAGCCTTGCCCACACTATGGTTTGTCTCTGACCATGTTCGTGGGACTGTCATTTTTTTTGGGACTGGTGCTTTGGCTTGGACTGACTGAGGTTGAAAGGTAGCATGACTTGGGGGTTCGCAATATCTGGCTTGTGCGACAACGGAAAGGGATGTTTGGGGCACTGTACCATAGTTTTTGACAGAAAAAATATGGGGTCATCATAAACGACGCATTCGCATGCATAAAAAGGGCGTGATGCGAGGGATACTGGGTGCATTTTGGGAATGTTTACCGGCCTAAGGGGAAGGGGAGGCGTAAGTATATGAGGGACATTGCGGGTGTTGTTTTGTTATGCAGGGCTTAGGAGTAAAACGAGAAATGACAAAAATGGAATTCGGCAACGAGAACGACAGCGGGGCAATCAACAGGCCTACCGGAGGGGAAGAAGCTGGACCAAGCCAAGGGAGGAGGACAGCGAAGAGAAAATTGTACATTGGGCTCATAGGCGGGTCAGTGGTAGGCAGGGGTGGAAGGAAATGCTTGTGTAGGAAACCCTCACCCCTCCGCAAGGGAGAAGGTATAGAAATATCATCTAACAGTGAGGGCGAAAAGGAAAGGGCAAATGTGAAAGAAAGAGGCAACACTGAAATGGGTGATAAGGCTCGAGTCTCTAACGAGGAAGGGGCCAACAGGGGCGAACCACGTGAGGCTTGGCATGGGGAAAGCGAGGGGGGACAAGGTATGCGAGACGAACGTGAGGAGGACGAGGAGAAAAGGGAGAGCCCGCTTGAAGGACGAAGCGGTCACGGCAGTTGCGAGGGGTATAGAACGGGGACAGAGATCCCTTTTACCTACAATCCAAAGAACCTTGCTGATGAGTATAGCCCCATACAGACTGAAGACGAGGGGGACGAGGAGGAGGATGTGCGAGAAGTCATAAAAATCAGCAGCGGGGATGAGAGGGATGAGATCTCAAGGCCTAGTGAAGAGGGGCGGCCTCCGATGCACCAACCGGGCGATGGGGCTTTCAGATGGGAAGGACGAGTTCGGGCCAACGCCCAGTCATTGGTTTCAGCAATGGACCAATGTAATCAAAGACGAATGGATTATCAAGACTCGGGAACTCGCAAGGGCAGGGGTGGAAGCCACACCACTGGATTTTTTTAACGAGGCAGAGTTGCATAAAATTGTAAGGATGAAAAGAGAGATCGAGACCTACGGCCTGGGGGTTAGGAAGCCTGCCAAGGAACGGGGTGGACAAGGAACTGGGCAAGACGAGGCGCAAGGCAGCAATAGGAACTAGGTGTTGACCTAGCATTAAAAGAGATCGCTGCTTTTCTGTCTGCATGACGAGAACATGTATAATATGGGCAAGCTTGCTAAGGAGGAAGTGAAAAGAGGGCCAACTAAGGTTGTGTCACGCTAAAGTAGAAGATAATTTTTTAGGCGACTTTTTGGATGAGCTACCTTGGGTACCTAAGACAAAGACATGGGATTTGGGATGAGACCAATTGGGAAAGGGTGTATTGTGAAATTTGGATGGAACAAGGATTATGCTTTTGAGAGGGGAAAACCTTGAGTACGGATTGACGAGCAAACCATGGCATTGAATGATTGGTCGAGTACAAGAGAGGTTAGGGAAGCTATGGGTTAAGGGGCGTGAAGAACACTCCTTCCCTAGGAGCCTAATCCAACTAAGTCGTGAATGAGACTGAGAATAGCCGAGACGTGAGAGATCAGGAAGAGTGAAAATGGAAGGGGCGCTTTTGTCTTTTGTTATGGATGAACAGCCGGGTGGGCTAGTGCTGCTTGGGGTCGCAAGCCCAGACTCGAGTGCTAGAAGCTAAGTCGGATATACGCATGGATGGTACATTACTGTGAGAAATGGAATGGATGGTACATTACTGTGAGAAATGAAATGGATGGTACATTACTGTGAGAAATGGAATGGATGG